GCGCGATGCCCCATCTTGATACCTGACGCTTTAGCGTTTGAAGTATGTTTCTGTGTTTTCAGTTATAGATGGAGAGACCGCTTACAAAAAACACTAAAAGGGCATGTAAGATGACCTTTTAGCGTTTTTAGTAAGCGGTCTTTGCGTTTTCCGTAACAGATGGAAAAACGCGATGCACCTTCTGACACATTTCTTATGTGTGTGTGTTTGTGATTTGTTATAAGTCTAAAGGGTTTTTTTTTTATTTATTTAGAGGACAAGGTAGGTATATTTGTAGCAATCAATGTAAAAGATCGGATTCTGGTTTGGAAAACACCTCGAGTGTCATGGAAGCACCTCGCTAAGATGAGTCCATGAACTGTTTTGCGAACGACTTTTGAAGAGCAGCGAGGTCAAACTGGATAACACAAAAAACATACCAAAACATCTATAAACACCTCTCTTATCTGTCAATCTGAGCTATCTTGGTCTACAGCATCGACAAAACAGTTGCTCGTCAAAAGAAATATTGTAAAATACTAAATCCATATTTTGGGGTTTCAAATGTATGCGTCCGGCTTTGAATAGTACGAGTGCTTGTAATGTTTGTGCTTTGCAGTRTTTTGTAAACAGCTTTTTCTTTTTAATACAGAAAAAATGGATGTAAAATATAAATAAAACTGGCAGTTTTGTAATTCATGGTGTCTTAGTTTCTTCTGTACATTGCATTTTAAATTGGCCAGAAAAAAAAACTGTTTGATTTTTCACGCAATCATCGTCATAAGCTCCCATGAATTTAATTCATAGCTCATGGAAATGTCATGTACAACTAATGAGGACGATTTCATGCGCTAATCTGTATTGATTAACCATCGATTATCGCTCATACRTGTCATCGTTAAACAGTAATTTGCGCATTTGTGACATTTTCGCTATACTGGCCAGGTTGTGATTTTTTTTTATGCTACTCAGATGCTATTGAGATTTATTATTTATATATGACATATATAGAATGTAGACGAATTGCCAATATGCCCGAAAGCAGTAATAGGCCTTTTGCATAAAACGGTCACATGGTACAAAATCTGCCATACTGGATGACAAAAGAATGTAAACAACCTCAAAAACAAAAGGAACGCAGCCCTTCAAGCTTGACTTTTCTTTGTTTTGAAAATCCCAGTGGGTATTTTGCCATCCAGTATGTTGGATTTTGTACCATGTGACCGTTTCATGCAAAAGGCCTATTGCTTTCCACCGAGAATAATAAGTATATTTCCGAGTGTACCTGGGAACTAATTAAGGTTGATGCCCCCCGACATTTGAAAAAATCTAGTTCATGCCCCCCGACATTTGAAAAGCTTTAGTTCATGCACGCGGCACGTGGAAAGTCTTGGTTCGTGTCCGGCATGTGGAAAGCGTTTGTTTCTGCCAGGCATGCGAATTGTGCAAGTTCAGGGACATGAAAAAAAGAATGAGGTCGTATGCTGCGAAAACTCCAACATTGTAACATGTTTTAACGTTTTCTATACCTCTGTCCAGTTCACCTCAAGACTATACCTTGACACAGCGGCCATTCTTTTGATATCGAAAATAACCCTCAAAACAATTTGCACATTTCCACTTTCTAGTCCAGTAAGCAAGGGTGAATTTCCGCGAATTTCCCGCCATTTTTATCGACGGCCCCCTCTTCAAAATTGGTGGTTCCGCACTTGTAATTTCTATATGATTAGTGTAACCACACAAATAGATGTTGTAGGTTTTGCAAAAAGGTCATATAATAACATTCAATTTTGGTCAAGAAACTCTCTAAAAGTAGAGTGCAAAAATGCGTGAAAGAATTCTTAACAATCAAAAACTAGAGTGGTTTTCATAAACCCGTGAAACAAAGTGTAATAATTAGTGTAATAGATCGTAATAGACAATAAAAATCAAGAGAGCCAAAGTGTAATAGCGATAAATACGCTAAAGTGTGTTTCACGGGTTAATGAAAACCACTCTAATAAGATTTAGTTATCAACTAAGAATTCACTGGGCCATGAACACAATGCCAAAAATTAAGGAAATTGTCTTTGTTTATGCCTCACTAAATTCTTAGTTAGTTGATAAATCTTATTAGGCGCTAATTAGTTAAGAATTGTTTCACACTTATGTGCCATGCACTCTACACCTCGCAGTTTAACTCAACACACTGAATAATGTGTGAAATAATGAATACTACAGGTAATAATTTAACAACTATTTGTTCTCTATTCAACTACGTATGAAATACAGATTGTTTCTGATAGTAAACATGATTTATTTACAGTTGGCTGTTTTGTTTTTCATTGAAAATTAAACAATATTACTGATGTAAATCTAGTATCATTTGTACTAAGTTTTGAATTCTACTATCGCTAATATTCATGCAAATAAAATGACCCATTTTAAGATGTGTCATAGGATTATTTTGGTTGACACCTTCTGGAGACTTTGAAAAGCCATAAAATAACAGTCATTTTGTTAGCTATTACATGACATTTACATCATGAATATTTTAGCTATTCCTGAATGACACAAAATGTAAAATGTTTCACTTTTGTCTTTTATGCGTCCATATTGCTGGTTTCAGATTGTAACACAGTTCAACAATGATCCGTTTTTGGAAATGGTATGTAAGAAAAAAAGTATATATTAACGCTTTCTTTTACTACGGCTGTCATGATCTCTAGACCTTGGCTCATCAAGTGTTCTTTTGCCCTTTTTGGCTTCTGTAAGAAACTTATCAAGTCCAAAAGGATCAAGTTCCTCTTCTTTTTCAAACTGAACTGGGCCATCTCTTTTTTGACTGTGATCAGTTCCAGCAAACTCTTTGTCGGCGTGAAATCTTTCAGTCCTTACTAGCTTTTCTATATCATCACCATACACATCCTTATCAGCAATATTCTTGGATGGTCGATAAATAGATGACGCAGTACTAGTATTTTTCCTCCAGGCTTTGTCATATACATTATATGCATCATCTTCACCRAAACCAGAGTCCATTCCTTTATCTTGGTTGAATAGCCTTTGGTCAAACATGCTATCATCTGATGCTGTTCCTCCACGAGCAACTCCCAATGCAATTTGCTCACTAATRTCACGCTCTTTGTCTCGTTGTAGCTTGGAACGTTTATCTGGTGCGGCTTTGGATATGCGTCTGTCTCTTTCTCTATCTTTGTGCCTCTCATGACGCAAATGATCTCGTTCTCTTTCATCAACAGATCGGTCAGAAGCAGTCTTGATTCCAGCTCTTTCCTCTCTTGTCTTCATGGCTAACTCCCTCAATTTCTTTTCTTGCTTTTCTTTCTCTTTCTGTGCTAGTTTCTTCTCAAGTTGTGCTCTTAGTTCAACTCCTTCTCTCGCTTTTCTATCAGCAATATACAGTGCCTCTGCAAGTTTAGCAAACTTGTCATTGATGTGTGGATCTTGAAGTCCACGACCATCAGCAGCTAAACGCTTGTCAAGGGGAATGGTATACCCTTTAGCATTCTTCCAGTTAGAGATGCAGGGAGGGACCTTCCAGTCTTGTTGCTCTTTAACTGTGACTTTGCGGCTGGGTGAGTGCATGACGGGAGCAGGTGGTGATGGGGGTCCCCGGGGAATCTTTTTATTGGTTTTAAACCTTGGTGGCTCCATTGGATCTTTCTGCATTTCAACCATTCGAATAACTCGTTGCTTGGCACCAGAGTTAAAAGCAGCTCCTTGTTGAGCTGGAGTATAACGAATATACTGTGCTGGTTGCTGTTTCTGAGCTGCCTGCGTTGGTTGAGCGGCAGCTATTTTGGTATTTACAACCTTCTCTAAAGCTTCCCTTGTTTTGTCTGTCACACTTTTTACCTCTTCTTCGTCTGGTCTCATAAACTCATCATCATTGTCACTCTTTAAATGCGCGGGAACCAAATCAGTGAATTTCGAATGAACAACTTTGTCTTTTTTGTGTCCTTGTTTCAATATGGCGTCGTACTTAACCCTGCCTTGTGCGTCAAGTTGAACAGGTAAAGCATTTGATGATTTACTAGTGTTCTTTTTACCCATATCTAGAGGATACTGGGCAACGTGGATCTCAGGAAATGCTCCTCCATCGCCAAAATCCTCCGGTCTTCTAGGGATCCAACCATGGCGTCTACCGTACGGCGGCGGTTCTTTAGCAACAACTGACAGTTGCTTATACGAATTTTCAAGCTCTTCATCTTCTTTGTCCTCTGAGTAAGCAATATTAACTGGATTTGGGAGTAAACTTGCAAGTGATGCCATGATTTTTTTGATCAAAATTACAAAAGTTCTCTCAAACACGTTTCTTTTCCAACATGGCGTTCGACGTCCTTAGTACGATTTGGTAATGACGTCACATAATACACGTGGTTTCGTTTGCCCAATCAAGTCACGGATAATAATGAAAACAAAAACGTGTAGCTGTTGTACCCCCTCGGGGTGAATTTGGTGAAGCGCTGTCCCTAGCTGCGATTTATCTAAAAATGGCGGACATGAATGCAGAAGTTGTTGTAATCGGAGGTGGAATAAGCGGCCTATGTGCTGCCAAGCTGTTGAACGAAAGCGGTATTGATGTCATTGTTCTAGAAGCCCGAGATCGAGTCGGAGGAAGAACTCAAACGAAGATAGACCCCAGATTCAAGTACACCGACTTAGGTGGAGCCTACATTGGCCCAACTCAAGATCACATCTTGCGTGTTGCAAAGGAACTCGGGGTAGAAACCTATAAAGTATATTTTAAAGGCAAAGTTTCTGAGTACTTAAGTGGAAGAAGGCGAGAGTACGAAAGTGAGACGTCCTCGTGGAATCCTATCGCTATTTTGGATTATTTTAATCTGATTCGTACACTCGAYAGAATGGCTGATTCCCTTCCATTGGAAAGTCCTTGGGATGCTCCTAATGCTTTAGAGTGGGATCGTATGACTGTTGAAGAATTTTTCAATAAGAGTTGCTGGACTAGCTACTGTAAGAAACGTATGGTGCAAATATTCCATGATGCTATGGCTGCAGAACCCTGGGACATGTCTCTCCTGTACTATCTTTGGTACCTGAAGTCATCGTATGGTGTTTTGAGAATAGCTGGTACAGAGAATGCTGGCCAGGAAAGAAAGTTTGTAGGAGGATCGCAGCAAATAAGCATCAAACTTAAGGATAAACTTGGGRAGCATAGGGTAACTATTTAACTTAATTTTCATTTTTTCAAAATAAAGTGTTCCATCTTTGTGGAATGGGCTTCCTGTGCTGTCCATTTGATAATTTCAGTCTTTTCAAAYGAGAACCAAAGAAAAATAATTTGTTGAAAATATGTCTTCCATATGGTCTGCACATATTTTGATCATTACTTGTTCTAGTTTATCTTTTGAGAGAGGCTGAAATGTCATTGACTTTTTTGTGATAAAAAAAGTCTTTGCAAAGTTTACTAAGGACCACTCTTTAATGAGTGTACAAATTTACAGTAGTTTTGTGTGGTATTGTCTTCTTATTTACCACAGTTGGGTCATCAAATCGTCTACAATAGATTGTTGTAGATCCATGAGATGAAGTACAATATCTCTTTGATGGTTATGGAATGATGTAAAATTTAATCAAAATGTTTTGAAAATTAAGCTGAAAAGGGTGAACAATACAATCATCRTGCAATGTTCTTAATGGTTRAAGTGYACCTTTTTCTGTGTATTTKAWTATAGTAATGGCATTCAAATCACTTAACGATGGTCATTACACTCAAAATACATTATTTTGCAAGTATATTTGGTGTAATGTCAAGACAATGCCACCCTTTGATGCCCAGAATGTATAACATCATTGTTTTTACCACTATTATATTATACACTACTAGAATATTTATTTACAATCAATCTAGTGCAACCTACATGTGTAATGGTCAATTKAACTTTCCCAATGGTCATAATTCAAAGTTTTGACCTACTATTGATGCATAGACATGGTGGTTTTAATTCCATTCCAGGTTATTTTAAACAGTCCAGTCAAACAGCTTGTTCAAGATGCAGATGGTGTGGTTGTCACATGTGAGAATGGGAAAATCTGTAGAGCAAAATAYGTTATCAGTGCCATGCCTCAAGCTCTACTGAATCAGATCTCATTTGAACCTCCACTCCCACCATTAAAGAATCAACTTATACAAAGAATACCCATGGGTTCAGTCATTAAAACAGTCATATTTTATGAGAAGGCCTTCTGGAGAACAAAGGGTTTGAGTGGTATCATCATTGCTGATTCTGAATCTGGTCCAGTTCAAGCAGCTTTAGATGACACAAAACCTGATGGCTCGTATCCTGCTATTATGGGGTAAGTACTTTAATCACCTACAATCGTTGACAAAATCCTTGGGCCATTCCAGCGAATTTCCTCATTTTAAGCAACACCAACTGTACAGACATTTCCATCCCCTAACCCCATAAATGCAATGTTGTCATTGAGCATGTTACCATAGTACACAAGCATCCAAAACAAGACCAAACATTGATGAAAGGGGGTTATGGGGGAGAATTGTGAAAAAATAGAGAAAAATGTTAGTCTGGAGACAAATAATTCTATATTCCAAGGTTTAATTTTTGGCAATGATTGTAGTTTTGATAAAAAAATGTCAAACAAACCATAGAGATGATTTTGTATCCTGACAAAGGCAGCACACAGCATGGTCTCAGAGCCTGGGCAATTGGCATCATAAGAATATCTGTAATGATTACTTTAGTTGTCTGTACACAATTTGAATGAATGAGAACAAAGCCAAAAAAGGGCCACATCACAGTATTGTCATTTTTATGGATTGAATTACAATCTAAAACTTGTCATTTCTCCACACAGGTTCATTATTGGTGACCAAGCACGCAAATGGTGTACAAGAACACCAGAGGAGAGAAAACAAGCTGTGGCAGAGCAGTATTCTAAGATTTTCAACTGCGATGAAGCTCTTCATCCTATAAACTACATTGACAAAAACTGGCCAGCAGAGAAATATTCTGGTGGTTGYTATGTTAGTGTTGTGCCTTGTGGTGTTTTAACAAAGTATGGCAAGGCTTTGAAATGTCCTATTGGAAGACTTTTCTTTGCTGGTACAGAAACTGCTACTATATGGTCAGGTATGTACTGATATAGAAGATATTACATGGTTGTAGGGAGATACAGATTTTATCTTCAATGTTGAAAAGATATATTAACATTGAACTTCAGAAATGGAGAAATGCAGGTATTTCATGGATAATTATTTTTATATCATAAAATAGTATATGTCATTGAAATTGTGATCACTCGAAGAAAGATGCATTTTTTTTTCAATGAAGAGAAATGAAGTGGTTCATGTCAATAGTAGTACACATACAGTTATTTCAAAAAACATTGTCGGGGAGAATGGCGAACGGAGATTGTCAAAGGGAGATTGCACGACCGAAAGGGACTATGGTTACTCTGTTTTGATAAACAAAATTTCACTTATTGCATTCACCTTGAAAAGAAATGGAGCCAATCTTTGTCACTGACTATGCTTATATTTAATATAATATAAATCAGTTGTTATTTCCACTTCATTAACAAAACCCATGGCTACTCTTGAATCGCCGTTTGATAATTCACATTCGCCGTTTAAATCGAGGTATTTCATGGATAATTATTTTTATATCATAAAATAGTATATGTCATTGAAATTGTGATCACTCGAAGAAAGATGCATTTTTTTTCAATGAAGAGAAATGAAGTGGTTCATGTCAATAGTAGTACACATACAGTTATTTCAAAAAACGTTGTCAGGGAGAATGGCGAACGGAGATTGTCAAAGGGAGATTGCACGACCGAAAGGGACTATGGTTACTCTGTTTTGATGAAAAAAATTTCACTTATTGGATTCACCTTACAATCATAGATTGAAGTAGAGACTAAATGGAGCCAATGTTTGCTGCAGACCATCTTACAGTGCAAATCAGTTGTTTGCCATTCAAATAGCAAACCATCAACATTCGCCATTTTATCTGACAACCTTTTCTGAAACAGCTGTACATAGCTGTACAAGTCAATGGCTTCTAAACAGAGAAAATATTGAAGATATATGCTATTTGTCTCATAAAAACCAGATACAAGCAATTGACAAAAACATCTTTGATTTAGGATACATGAATGGTGCAGTCCAAGCTGGTGAAAGGGCAGCGAGAGAAGTTCTTCATGAAATGGGAAAGATATCCAAGGATGATATAAATCAAGTAGAACCTCCATCAACAGATGTTCCTCCAGTTCCATGTGAGCTTACTGCCTTTCAGAGGAATTTGCCTTCTGTTCCTGTGTTCTTGTCGGGAATGGTTATCATTGGTGGAGCTGTTGGGGGATGTCTTGCCTATAGATACTTATTCAAATAGAAAACTAATAATTTATACTTGATAATTAAACTAATGGTGATGGTGATGATATAATATATAATCAGCAAGAGTGAGAAATTTGGTGATCAATTTACAAAATCAAGAACAAAAATTATGAAAGGCTGCATACATAAATCAGTCAGTTTTAATGTACTAGGTTTTTACAAATTTTTCCTATTTAAATAAATAGCTTGGTTATTTATTCTAATATTTACAAAGAAAATCAAKAATATTTTCTTAAATAATATTTTGCCCTTAAAAAGGTTTTAGGCTTTCCCTTTTCAAATCAAATTCTAGTCTAATATGCATAGTTAAAAATTAAAATAAATAATTAATTAAAATGATGTTATTGTTTAGACGATTATGGTATTAATCTTTTTCACATCGAGGATGAAACACACAAAGGGAGGTATATTTCCGCTTCCTCTGACAACTGTCCTAAATGCACGCGGGTTTGAGAMTTTCATTATGCCATGCATTGCCATGTGGTATGATTGTGTTTTTGAGATACGTTCTGCACAAGCTACCACACAACGTTTGCTGCAGCAAGAATAKTGTCCTAATCATCGACATATTGCACAAGCATTGCTTTAACTGTGCTTGCTTTCTACAATGGCTAGATGGCATCCCAGCATATCGATGCTGTACTGGAGAGACCTAGCCTCCTCCCCAGGCAACTCTTTTTTTCCTCCTTTGGGCTTCCTTTGTAACGGTCATCTTGGCCGCTATTCTCCCTCTTTTGACTCCCAAAAAAGACAGGAATCCCGTGAGTCTTTGTGATTCTTTGTGATGCCTGCGGAGTACGCTTCCCTTTTCTCGCCCCCATTCTCCCTCTTTTGACTCCCAAAAAAGACAGGAATCCCGTGAGTCTTTGTGATTCTTTGTGATGCCTGCGGAGTACGCTTCCCTTTTCTCGCCCCCATTCTCCCTCTTTTGACTCCCAAAAAAGACAGGAATCCCGTGAGTCTTTGTGATTCTTTGTGATGCCTGCGGAGGAGGCTAGGAGAGACCCACCCTGCAACTATGCGAAGGTGTCTTGCAACCATACTTGGCTACTTATCGCATAGACAAATCTTTATTGGAAAGAATTGGAAGTCAAATAGTAAAGTTAAAGTTAGGATTAAAAGAAGCAAAATATCCAATACTGCCGCAGAAATGAACACAATGTTGGACTAACATTGTCGGAAGCGTTCA